GAAACCCTCGGCTCTGTGAGAGTCACTTGGGGACAGTGACCCCCTGACCCCCCGTGGGTGGCTCTGGGGGGGTGGCAGTGCCTCTGTCCCCACCCCGGGGCCCTGACGGTGTCCCCCATGTCCCCTGGGCCAGGTGGAAGTGCTGTATGAAGATGAGCCCCTGAAGGAATATTACACCCTGATGGACATTGCCTACATCTACCCCTGGAGGAGGGTGAGCAGAGCTGCTGCCGTGGGCACACAGGTGCCATGGGGTGCTGTGGGGTGCCATGGGGTGCTGTGGGAAGCTGTGGGTACCATGGGGTACTGTGGGTGCTGTGGGGTACCATGGGATGCTGTAGGGTACGATGGGGTGCTGTAGGGTGCTGTAGGATGCCATGAGGTGCCATGGGGTGCTATATGGTGCCATGGGGTGCTATAGGGTACCGTGGGGTGCTGTAGGGTGCCATGGGGTGCTATAGGGTACTGTCAGGTGCTCTGGGGTACTGTAGGGTACCATGGGTTATGGTGGGGTGCTGTAGGGTGCTGTAGGATGCCATGGGGTGCTATAGGGTGCTGTGGGGTGCCATGGGGTGCTGTGGGGTGCCATGGGGTGCTATAGGGTACTGTCAGGTGCTGTGGGGTACTGTAGAGTACCATGGGTTATGGTGGGGTGCTGTAGGATGCCATGGGGTACCATGGGTGCTGTAGAGTGCTGTAGGATGCCATAGGGTGCTGTGGGGTGCTATAGGGTGCTGTGGGGTGTCATGGGGTGCCGTGGGGTGCTGTAGGGTGCTGTAGGATGCCATAGGGTGCTGTAGGGTGCTATAGGATGCCATGGGGTGCTGTGGGGTGCTGTGGGATGCCATGGGGTGCTGTGGGGTGCTGCAGGGTGCTGTAGGAAGCCATGGGGTGCTATAGGGTGCTGTAGGATGCCATGGGGTGCCATGGGGTACCATGGGATGCTGTAGGGTGCTGTAGGATGCCATGGGGTGCTGTAGGATGCCATGGGGTGCCATGGGGTGCTGTAGGATGCCATGGGGTGCCGTGGGATGCTCTAGGGTACCGTGGGGTGCTGTGGAGTGCTGTAGGGTAGCATGGGTTACGGTGGGTGCTGCAGGGTGCTATAGGATGCCACGGGGTGCCGTGGGGTGCTGTAGGGTGCTCTGGGGTGCCATGGGGTACCGTGGGCGCCACAGGGTGCCAGCCGTGCCCCTCTGCCCCCCCCCCCCCTCCTTCCCCGCAGAACGGCCCCTTGCCTCTGAAATACCGCGTCCAACCCGCCTGCAAGCGGCTCAAGCTGTCCCACCCCGCCCCTTCCGAGGGCACCAACACCAGCGGCGCCTCCGAGTGCGAGTCGGGCAGCGACAAAGCTCACAGCCCCGCCACGCTCCCCGCCACCTCCTCCTCCCTGCCCAGCCCTGGCACCCCGTCCCACGGCTCGCCCAGCTCCGGCACCGGCACCACCCTCAACGGCACCTCGAACTGCCACCCCCTGGCACCCACCGGCGCCCGGTGCCGCAAAACGACTGTGAACGGCAGCGCGGGCTCGGCTTTGACCTAAAACCCCGCCCAGCAGGGACTGCATCCCTCCCCCGTCCCGGCTTTTCTTCTGTAGATTGTTCTATACAGACCTTATATAAATATATATGTTGTACATAGGGAGAGAGAAAAAAAAAAAAAAAGAAATAATTATACATACTTATTTTCTATCGACCGAGCAGATTAATTTAAAAAAAAAAAACAAAAACAAAAACGCAGAACAAGACACAGAAACGTGGGTGGGTATTTTTTAAATGTTCTCTTTTTTTCTGTTTGTTTGTTTGTTTGCGGTTGGTTGGTTGTTGTTGTTGGGTTTTTTTGTCCTTTCTCTCGTCGGTTGGGTTTGTGGACTTTGGTTTCCCCTTCTGGGAGCTGCATGCCGGAGCTGGGAGCCAGGCAGGTGCTGCTGCCACAATTCCCTGTTTTCTCTCTAACGCTTTTCCCTCTCCTCCTCATCCCTCTCTCCTCGCTCGTGTCCCGCCCGGAGCGAGACGGGGGCCGTGAGTGGGGACTCCTGGCTGCACAGGTAAGGGCCAAGCACAGGTAAGGGGCCAAGCACAGAAGCCAAAAACTGCCCCTCAGCCTCGCTGTGCCGTGGGTTTTTTTTGTTTTTTGGGTTTTTTTCCGCATTTCTGTGTTTATTTGGGGGTTTTAGGCGGACCTGGTGCCCGCAGATGCCCCGTGGTCCAGGTGTCCCATCACCCCCAGCTTTGCCACGCGTGAGTTTGGGTCTTTCTTTGCTTTCCCTGTGTTCTCTGGATGCTGTTTCAGGCTCTGGGCAGGCAAAAGCCTCGCACAGACACTTCCCCTCCTTGCACAGTAAGTTCTCTCTTTCGGGTTTTTTTTTCCCCAGCTTAAAAATTATCTCTGCTTGCAGCTTGCTGGCACTGGGGGTTGGAGGACAACCCTTCGGGATATTTTCTCCTCCCTGGGGGTGCCAACAGCTCCGGGCACCGCTGGGAAATTTGGGGGCATCCAAATGGTTGGGGGTTTCAAACCCAGGGCGCCCATTTCCAAGCGTTTATTTTTTGGTCTCCCCCCTCCCCACCGTCCTTCCCACCCTCTCCTCCTGCCCTCACATTGGGTTTTTAATAAAATAAAATACAAAAAAGCAGACTACAGTGCCTTTAGCCAGGAGGCTTCGGTGAGGGGTGAGTGTGGGAAGGTGCTGCCGTGCTTAGGGCGGGAGTGGAGCGGCCCCGAGGGAAGGGACCAACTTCCCACAGGCACAGGAAAAAAAGCACACGATTTCCCCCCCCCGGGGAATGCAGATCCCGAGGGTTCCTCTCCTGTCCTTGCTGGGGAGGGGGATGAAGGACACAAAACAATTAGCAAGTGCCTGCAGCGCCCCGAGGGCCCCCACGGCAGGGTGAGAACCAAAGGAAGGTGGAATTGTAGGGAAATGTAGGTGGAATTCCCGACTCCGAGGGTCGGCAAAACACGGGATGTTGTTACTGTAGCTTTTGATTTGGAACTATTGTTTTTGGGAAGTGCTGCCCCCCCCAGCACGGACTCGGCTATAGCACAGCCCCAGGCGCTGGGGAGGCCCCGGGAAGGGTCCCCACGGGGCCACTTTTGTCTCTTGTCCCCATCCCCCGGGCTGGGGCTGGGCCGGGTGGCTCCAGGTTTTGGGGGGGGCTCCGTTTGTCTCGACTTTGACACCCCTTTTCTCCTTGTAAATAGGCCAGGCTGGACTGTGGGAGGCGGCTGCCTCGGGCTGGGGTCTGTGTGGGGCTCGGGAGGGGGTGGTCTGGTTTTGGTTTTCCCTCTGTGGTACAAACCCGATGGCTCTGTGTGTTTGCATCCTGTACGGCGTTTTAATGTCCTGTAAGATATCCCAGTATCCAGGTATTGTTCTTGGTTACACATTTGTATGGATACAGCTTTGTAAATGTAATAAATGCTGCAGACTGTCCTTCCCGCCTGCACAGGGGCAGCTCCTGCTGCCTCCGTCCCAAATCCCACCGGTCCTTCCACCCCAAATCCCACAGGTCCCTCTGTCCCAAACCCCACAGGTCCCTCTGCCCCAAATCCCACAGGTCCCTCTGCCCTGCATCCTGCAGGTCCCTCTGTCCCAAATCACACAGGTTTCTT